GGGCAGCGCCTGAGTATTCCTAGTGCTTATTGGCTGGCGGAAGGCTACCCTCCGGCTTCTGCCCAGCGCTGAAAGGGGCTGACACGCAAAGGGCGCTTCGGGCAGGAGGCTAACGATAAGGGGGCGGGGGAGGAGGAGCGGTCCGCAACGGCTACGCTCCTCTTCTTCCGCCTGAATTGCAGCTCGGGTGGTTTGGGTTGTAGGTCCAGCACCTCCTGAGTTTCCTCACTGAGATGTATTCCCTAGAAAGGCTGCGATTGAGAGGCTGCCCTGCATGCATTCCTGGTAAGACCCATTGAATTCAATGGGGCTTGCTCCGCTAAGGGTCTGCATAGATTCGTAGCTGCAGGACAGGAATGGGAAATACGTCTTCTCCAGCCCTTCCAGTTTCAAGGAAATTGCAAGGAAGTCTGCAACTGGTGCTCTAGTGGTGCGCAGGCTGGTTTCAGTAGGCATATCTAGCGTTTTATTCAAGGAATTTAGCCGGCCTGGGCTGGTCTTGAAAAAACCAAGCGGGATCAGATGAGAAATCGCTAGGAATTCCAGGGAAGTAGGTTAGCCCGGGATTCTCATCGCAGAAGAAAGCAGCAGCCAACCACTTTTTCATCATTTCCAAAGAAATAGCAGGGATGTGTCCATGATGTCACTAGGGTCAAGCTCAATTTGAGGGAGATGTAAAATTCATCTTCTATAAATTCAGCAACTTATGGACTTAGGTTTCAGTTGCCCAAGTGGAACCGAAAGTGGGAAGGTGGTTTATCTAGGGTGGACAGTGAAAAGCATTAAATATGTAGGTTAGCTTTAAAACAAAATTATGTGGTCATTTTTCAGAACACTCACCTTAGTTATTATTGTCAAGAGTGTGTGTGCTTTTTAAAAAAAAAATGTTCAAGATGAAGCAGTCATGTCACAAACAATCCAAACAACTTGAAAATACAAATAATGTGATAAACAAAAATACAGCACAGATATGCCCCCCCATACACACACACTACAATCAGATAATACTGGGTAATAATTACAAACCTTACCGCTCTTTCTTGAGATAGCCAATGGGAACAGACACATTAAAGTTTGCCCTGCCAAAAATAACTGGCATTATAATGGTTATAACAATAATAGAATAATAGAACAGACTTCAGCATCCTAAGATAAATAACACTTTATAGTATAATGTTTTTGTTGTGAAGAGTTCTTTTGAGTCTCCTTGTGAAAAAAGAATTTTTGCCCTGGTGTATTATACTTGATTTAATAACAATTTTAAAATGTATTCCTATTCCATTATAAAGTTTCCAGAAATAGAGACTAATCTTAATAGCTAAGCCGTTTGCTTATTTTACTGATGACCACCACTAGGGATATGACTTGAGGAAAATATACTTTGCATTTACAAGTTAAAATGGCACTCAGCAGCCACACCCTCTCCTAATATTGTGCTAGCTTTGCATGCTGAAGATGTCAGTATCAACATTGTCATAGAAATCAATTTGAAAAATAAAATTAATATCCATAATTATCTACATCAAGGTGATGTAAAATTATCAGATTGAAATCCCCATTATATAAACATCACAGAATACAGTACAGAGCAATTTGTTTGGCTCCGTTAGCCAATTCACTGATGGATGAACTTTCTTACATTCTGTGATTGGAATATAGAACTCAAAATATACTACATGTTCAGAAGAAACAGACAACAAAAAGGGAGGTGGAGAGCAGCTTTGTACTGAAAGATATGCTGGGAAGAAATCTGTGTCTCTAGAATATGGAATGATGAAAGCATCTGAGCAAAATTAAAAGGAGCAAAAAGCAAAAGCGATAACATTGTTAGAGCTTACTACAGGCCATTACCCAGGCAGAAGATGTGGACAGTGCCTTTCTAAATCAACTCACCAAATTCTCTAGAGGGTGGCCTATAGTGGTAATGGGAGACTTCAGCTGCCTTGATATCTGCTAAAAAAAATTAACTCATCTAGAAGTAGAGGATCCAACAGATTTCTAATCTCGCTGACAATTTCATTTTTCAGAAAATGGAAGAAGAAACAAGGAGTTAGGGATCAGCTATTCTGGACCTAATTCTGGCCAATAGAAAGGAAATGGTTGATGAACTGAAGGTATCAGGCATGTTGGGAGAAAGTAACACATCATATTGGAGTTCAAGAAAACTGGGAGAGGAAAAGCTAAGAAATGTCAGCCATATACCTTGACTTTTAATGAACTCAGAAAAAGGTAGGCAGGGTTCCATGTCTTGAAAGCTTAAAGGATAAGCAAGACAAAGTGGGATGGAAGATCCTGAAAAATGGGGAACTAAAATATAGACACAAACAACACCCATAAACAAGATATGCACTGCATGGAGCATAAATAAGAAGGAAAAACAGATAAAACCGTTAGATGCTAGTATTAATAAATAGTGAGTTCTGTGACAAACAGAAGCAAAAATGGTATTTATAAGAAATAGAATAAGGGGATGAAAACTATAGAAAGGAATGAACAAACAGCTAACTGGAGCCCACTAAAATATAGACACAAACAACACCCATAAACAAGATATGCACTGCATGGAGCATAAATAAGAAGGAAAAACAGATAAAACCGTTAGATGCTAGTATTAATAAATAGTGAGTTCTGTGACAAACAGAAGCAAAAATGGTATTTATAAGAAATAGAATCAGGGGCTGAAAACTATAGAAAGGAATGAACAAACAGCTAACTGGAGCCCATAGGAATGGAGTCAGAATAGCTCAAGCTCGGGATGAGGTTAGGCTAATGAAGAATGTACAAAACAGTAAGAAAATTTTGCAGAGTCTATCCAAAATAAAAGAAGGGTCAAGGAGTCTGTTGGCCTGTTGCTTAGTAGGGAATAGGGTAGGACAGTAGAACTGCATAACATCTTTACATCTGTCTTTTCTCAGAACAGGGAGATTGAAGAAGGAGGAAGAACACAGCTCTGGATCACTATAGCTATAAAAGTGACCTACCTTTCTACTTCAAATGAATTCAAAACTCCAGGACCAAACAATGGCACATGTGATCTCAGAACCACCAATTACCACCTGTGAAAACTCCTGAGAGCCGGTGACATGCCAAAAGATTGGAAGGCAAACTGGGTTCCTAATATTTAAAAAGGGAAAGTGGTATCAACCAAAACTATTGGTTTAACATCTGCACTGACAAGATAGCAGAAGAGATTGCCAAACAGCATGTTTGTGTCAGTACTTCAATATATAGTAGACCAGGGCAAGAAACGGAGACCACAACGACTACTAGAACTCTACTGTTGTAGGGAATAACAACAGAATCATGAAAGCCTGACAGAGTTTCTTCTGCCCCCACTTATTCCAAAGAGAAGCAAGGCAGGGTAATTTTGAGTTTCATTCTTACTCCACTCCCCTTTCTCAGGGCTGAGCTGAATTTTACTCAGCCATTCTTGCATTCCTTCTTCAAGGTTATCTCTGCACTCCCAGGAGTACAGAGCACTTTTAAAAAGAGCGCTACCATTACCTGAACCACCTGTTAGCCCCACTATGTAGATCAGGACAAGAAATCATTTCACATTAAGACTAAAACTAGCTTTATTAAGATTGACCATAATAACAGAATCTTGCATGTCTTATTGTGGTTTACCTCCTCCCCTTTTATACTAATGTGAATGAGGGAAGTGTCTGAGATGTTTTCACATTCCTCCTTCATTGTTTGGACCTAAGCGATGTTTTCCTCCTCATTGCTTTGCTAATGGATCTCCCCTCTCTCCATCAAGGCCATCCTCTTTATTCTCTCTACCAACACAGATTTGTAAAGAACATGACATATAAGTCTAACCCTATTTTTTTATGAAAGAGTGACTAATTTGGTAGACCAAGGGAGTGCTATGGATGTAATATCCCTTAGCTCAATAAGACATCTGTCAAGATCTCACATGATATCCTTGCAGATAGGAATTGTCTTGCAAATATGGATTAGATGGTAATGTAGTCCAATGGATTTGCATGTAGTCTACAGTCCTGGGATTTTCTGGAGGCCTCCCATCCAACCCCTAATCAGTCAGATCCAGTGTAGTTTGAGATCAGCCAAAGCAGCTAGTTGCTGCCACCTGGCTGGGTGAAGTCTTAAACCTTGATCTTAAACATATATAACTGAAATGTCCTGATGCATATTTATTAGTAGCAGTGCAGGAGAAAAACTGTTATGGAAACCTAGCTTATCCTCTCGGCCTAATATGATTCTTCCCATGATATCCAGAACCTTGTTGGCTCCATTGTTGTATAAACAGAGTGGTGTAAGAGATTATCTACCGGAATATTACTTCCACATTATTACCATTAAATAATGTTGACTTGTGTTATACTGAGTTAAATGGGATTTCAATTAGTATGATTGATTTGGTAGATGTATTTCAATTCTTGTGATATTAAGAGCTGTTATTAATAAAGGAATAACTTTATCCATTTGTCAGATAATAGTAGTAATAGAAATAATCTCCCCAAGTGCTTGAGCATCTATGGGTTGTTTTAGCCACAAGATGTCACCATTGAGATACCTTGTTTTCCAATTTACAGTATTGGGGGTGAAACTATTCGATGCTATTATCATATATGAAATTTTTGCTGAATTGTTGAAAATATCTACTGAGTGTAACTCTCTTTCTCTGGTAGAACCAGAGCTATAG